GACCAATAGAAGTGGGTTGATCTCGTTGTCGCAACTTGGTCTTGTTGTCAGTGCCATAGTAGTTGTCATGATTGCCAGCATCTGACAGTATCATAGTCGGCATCATCAGTCAGATTTGCCATTCTCCGCACCAAGCCAAGACCTCGTCAAAGAGACAAGTCGGCGAAACGTTTGACAATGTACCAAGTCCACTGTCTGACGCTGGGAATCATGACAACTACTTTAGCAGACGACTTCGGACTAGATGACATTCTACATAGTCGCCCTGACAACAAGACCAAGTTGCGACAACGAGGTCAACCCACTTCTATGAATGAGTGATGAGCATGGCATGCCGGCAAAGTGTCTGCAAATGCACCAAGTCCATGGTCCGAGTCTGCAAATTGTCACGCACACTCCGGACTCCGGACAAGCTGGCTTCCTCCAGGTCTTGTTGCCATAACAACCAAGTTGTGGAAACAAAGGTCAGACTACTGCTGCATATCGAAAGGAGACTGCCACACTTTGCTAATTGTATCTACGCCTAATTGGTTGTGGTAGGGTCCCATGAAGCCGTGTTTCGCGCCGCGATTGGCTCTTGTCTCCGTTTCCATCCGACCAGTTGGCCGGTCGTCGAGGCCGGCGGCGCAGCGGCAAAAATGGGGAAAAAGCACTCACCTCGTCGCCTTTGAAGCCCTGCCGGCCAAGACTGCCGAAAGCGCCTTTGAAGCCCTTCGGACCGACGACGCCGATGGGACCCATGTTGCCGGGATGACCTCGTTCGCCGGTGTCTCCGATTGGTCCCGGAGGTCCCTGTTCGAGCGGGCGGCAGAGGGAGACGGAAAAGAGAGCATACAAAAAGTGTTACGATGGGACTCAAACAAATCTGATCGTGTCCACACCTGACGACACTCTATTCTACACCGCATACTCCCAAGCGAACCGACGGCAAATCTTCCGCTTTAGATTCCACACCCGGAACCTCGACTTTTCACGAACCTTTGGCAGGACTTTGAGGGAAATTAAGCCCTTAACAATTACAAAAGTGGCTTAAGCACTCAAAACTAAGGCAGGGAGATAAAGTCGAGACAGAGATTCTGCATCTGAAAGGACCAATGGAAGATGGTGCCTCTCCCCGGAAGACCTTTGCAGGTCTCGTCGACCGTCTTCCACTTTGGAGCAGCGGGTCGCCGGATTGCCCAAAGCGGCTAAGCTACAAAACGACCAGATTGTCAACGAAGACGTCGCCAGTAGCTGAGGACAATCAGGAAGCTTGTTTCAGAAGTCACCGTAACGAATCGCAGAAAAGAGGTTGGGAACGAATTCATCATTACCCAACGTACGGTCGAGGTGAGGACTTTCTCTGAATGGGCCAATTAAATCACATTCGCGGGGAGCATTATGCATTTACAAAATGGG